GTTTTCATGAGCTGTATGCCATAATCATCAGTATTAAAACAATTAAAGACCTGAAATATTTCAGTTGGTGTGCAATGAATCTGAAATATATGAAAGTTTCATTTTTATTATTACATTATGGAAAATAATGACCTTTATCACAATATGCTATTTTTTTGAGAAGGACCTGTAACTGTTGGAATAATCTAGGAGGCACACTGGAGTCGTATGTCAAACCACAACATCAATGTGTCTAGACATGCTTACTGATGATGCACAATAAATCTGGTTCAGATCGGATGATGTATCACTGAGATATAACTCGAGGAATAATATAGGGAGCGCTGTGTAGGCTGTTGGCCACATATCATGGATTCCTGTTCAAAGGGTGGATAATGATTGATCATTCTGATTTTGGTGCACCTCTGTTCAAATCTTTGGAATTTATAGCCAAATGTATTTTAACAACGTCACTTCTGAATTCGTCACGCCGCCACTCCAACATCCTCCTTCGAAAACTGTTTGAAATTTAAAGTAAGTCAGACCAACTTGTTATACGTCTTCTAACACAGGATCATCTCGATTAGGTCAAGGGTGTCAGAGAGGGAGCATTCCAAGTTAAAAAAGTGACTTCCTGTTCTGAGGGGGCGGGGCTTTGATTACGTCAGAATATGACCACAGAGGATCGTCGTGCATCCAAGAGGGATGACTCATGCCAAGTTTTGTGCATTTCGGTCTTTCATTGTGAAAGTTATAGCGTTTTGAAATTTACGGCTTGAAGTGCAAATTTTAGGACTGGCTACGCTCCTGTAACATATACGAAAATGCAAGCTTTTGATAACTTTTACTCCCCAATGTGTTAAGGGCATATTAATCAAGTTTGAAGGCAATCCTTCAAAATCCTTAGGAGGAGTTGGTTAAAATTTACAATAAGAAATTCCCCAAAATGACCCTTTGACCCAAAATGGCTGACTTCCTGTTGGTTTTGGACCGGGGCTCCAAGAGGCTTTTTCATAGTTCCTGACAAGATGCAGATGTTCACCGAGTTTTAGAATTGTCGGTCCAAAAATGGCTTGTGACTAAGGCTTTATAAAAATATTCTAGGGGCAC